CCAATCTTTTTTTCTGTTTTATTTATTTGGTAAAGTATCAGTCCATGCAAACTGAACTGACTTGACTCCTACATTCTGTGCTAAGAATAGTATAATCATTCATCCATTGATGACATGAATGCCAAATTCCAAACTGTATTTTTTTGTGAATGTTTTTCAATATTGTTGAAACTTCTGTCTGTTCTGTGACTCTCTTTTCCTCACTCTTATTGAGGACAGAGGATGTTGCAATCACAATTTGCCTCATAGGGCTTAACAAGGTGTTAAGCCCTATGGGGCAAATTGGAATTGGAATGGAAATATTTAAATTACAATACAGTATTAGGGCTATTTGCATGGAAAAATAAATACATAATATTGCAAAAATAAAAAATAATAATTTCCGGCTATGTGTTATTTGTGGAGTATTAGAAGATCAGCCTGTGGCCAGTATTGAAATTAGGAATGAGCATCTTATTAAGTTATACTTTATAACACCTGATCCTTTGGCATGTCAGCTCCACATTATCCTAAGTATGTTTATTTATTTTGAATACATCTTTATTCTTATAAAATGATAACATGATTGTTGTAATACTATAACATTATTCTTGAATTATCAGATTTATTGTTAAATATGGCCCTAATACTCAGTCAAGCTTTTCAAGCAGTCTTATGGTGGACCTGCCACACAGCTCTGTGTGCAGTTTATGACATGCAGTAATAAATTGGCAGCAGCTACTGCACAGATAAGGCCACCATGGGAAAGTTTTATAATCTCCATCCACAGGTGGGAAAAGTGGGGAAACTCTTTTCATTGCCTGCCTTAAATATTGACATATGTGATCACTTGAGCCTGTGTAGCTGTTGATCTTTGTAATACTCGAGTCACAAGGGTTATGATCTGTATATTGCTGATCAGTCTATGGCTTTAATGAGCACAGGTTTGTTCTGCTTTGTTTTCAGGGAGGTGCTATAACCATAAAAGCAGCTAACGAGGTTTATTCTGTGTGTTTCCCAGTAAAGCTTCTCTCTGTCTGAGCAGAAGAAGCAGTTTGTCCTCCTACGTCCTCCCTCGGGCTAAAAGTGGAGTTAGCAGTGACAAGGACAGGGTATATTTGATTGTACATCTAAAGCAATTTCACATTAGTGAAATACTGCGTATTATTTGTTTACCTGTCCAGAGTGGGAGGAGAAGAATGTTATCCTTCAAGTCTCTTCTGATTGGTTTATTCCTTGAGTGACATATTGACTCCACAACCACAGGTAGTTAATTGTAGCCTTAGCAAATCACTGTAAAATGATACACTGGTTTCCTTCCTGATATATAACAATTGTGCAGTGTTTCCTCTATAATTTTTTGATCTTCTTCCTTTCTTGAACACTTGGAGTGTTGTCATTAATAAAGTTGAAACCACCACAGAGGTGAGCGATACTGGGGGCGTGACTGAAGATAGTGACTACCTGTGACATCACAAAATTATGGAAGCCTTACTGGCTCATTTTAAGGCATCATTTTGGAATGCAGACTATATTCACGTCATGCACTTATATATGAGGTCACATAAATATACCACGATCGATGAGATTGACCAGTGTGATTGGATTAATACATTTACAGCCCAAAAGCATTGTGGGATGCATTATCTACTTTCATTTTGTAAGGGAGGGTCCAACCTTCCCATTTGCTAAAAGAGATAAATGAAGCATTGAAGCATCTTTCGTAGCATGTAGGAAATTCAACCAATCACGGTTGACACATGCAGGTCATTTCACTCAGGAAGAAAAAGAAAAAAGAAAAGAGACAATCAGCCACAGCCAGCATCATGGTTTCTGTCTCCACCCTGTTTACCAGCCTCCTATCATACTCCACCTGCCCACTAGATGTCTCTGGTCGTTCCTCCTCTTTCCAGATCCACTTGCTCACCTGTTCCTCATTTCCCTCATCTGCTTCCTGGTATTTGTTGCAGCCCTGTTTCACCACTCAGTTGCCACTCCTGTAACTGCTCTCTGGTCAGTTACAGGAGTATCTGGTCCTCATCATTCTGTCAATTCAAAAGTTTCATTGCACCAGCTTGCCTTCCTTTGTTCTTACTGCCAACTGTGACCCTGCAGTAATACAACATGATCTGAGGCACACAGAAGTGTTTCTACATTTTGGATGGCTGATCTGTCCTCAGAGGCACATATGAAACTAACTTGCACGCTTTTTAATGAGCTCCTATAAAAATCGTCCTAAAGAAAAGGTGTCATTATGGAATATGCTTGCTCACGTCTTCAGAGTCCAATGAACATTATTTTGTTTCTCAGCCTCAAAGAACAGTATAACACAGCCAGACGCATGTATGAACATGTCTCAATAAACTTTGACATTTTTTCACAACAACCCCACCCCCAACTCTTTATACCATTTTTACAGACGTCAGAGCAGACAGTACATGGACTCAGGTACCAAATAATCACATCATAAAGGTGCAGAATGCCATTTGATAAACTTTACATTTTACCACAAATGATTTAAGTCACTTGTGATTGTCATTACTGCATGATTCAATATTTTACTTATTTGAGATTTGTGACCAGAGTTTTGTGACTTGCACATTTAATTCAGATTCATGAAGTGAATCTCTGACTTTGTCCACAGGTGTAAACTGAATTTCCTTAACATCAACGCCACCAAGACAAGGGAGATGGTGATAGACTTTCCCAGGAAGTCGTCCAGGATGTGGACATTGAGATTGCTAGGGACTACAGATAGCTGGATGTTCACCCAAACAACAAACTGGACTGGTCCACACATACAGACCTGCCTGCTGCTGTAAAAAGTGAATTTCCCCGATATGTGGATCAATTTAGTTCTATCTAATCGAATCTAAGTAGATGAAAATCATATTTTTGCAATCAAAAACACTGGATATATAAAACAGAATCTGTTAAATAACTTTTCTCTTTGGCTGAAAGCCTCAAAATACGAAATCCTATATGCACATTTAATTATTTAGTGGATTTTTACCTCTTACATCAGATTCCAGAAAAAAAAAAGTTGTGTGAATGTGATTCAAAAAGGTTCAGTGATGAAGATCTTAAATATTTCAATCAACTGTGAATGTCATTAACACAGTTTGCATAACCTGCTGGAGATATGTGCGCCATGTGACAGGAAGTAGTTTTCTTGCTTGAAGAAAGAAGATTGGTCACATATGGTTTTGCTGAATGTGCTGTATGGCTGCAGGTACAATATAGTTAGCTTAGCTTAGCATTAAGACAGGAAACAACTTGGCTCTGTCTAAAGAGCATCTCTAAAGCCCACTGATAAAAACTATTTACTTTTTAGGGAAGATTATGTGCATGACTATTTCTTAAAGGTCCAGTGTGTAAGATTTAGGTGAAAGGGAACTATTGGCGGAAATGTAATGTAGAATAATTCTCATGATATTTGCACTAGTTCATTTCAATATGAATTGTAGTTTTCTTTACCCCAGAAAAGGCCCTTTATATTTAAATACTTTATATTTACATCTCCTCCCTCCTACAAAAATCTTGAAAGGTTTTGAGAGCTAATTATTTGTTTCAAACAGATGTTACACAGTATACGACTAAAAAAAATATTGAGAATTCTAAAATCCATTTACTTAGAACACAGGAAAAAAGTTTCAACGTAAACCTAGCTCTTGTGTGTTTCAGATGTCTTTGCAAAACAGATGTTCCAAGAAAACATTTCAAGTATGTGACCTTTTTTTTTCACCTTTTAAAGGTTCAATTAGTCACATGCTTAGATACATGCTTATTTTAAACCCTGTGTGTTGCTATTTGGTCCACATTTGTTAAATGACTTTGACTTTTAGCAAAACAGCTAATTTAAAAACAAATTCTATTTTTTCATCAGATTCCTTCTGCTGACGTCTTCTCTTTCCTTTTGCGTATTTTACCAGTTTCATCATTGAAGTACTTTGACTAATGAATCGGACTAAAAAAACTGGCCTCATGACTTCTGGTGAGCATATTTCACAAATGCATAATCTCCATGAGACCTGAGGCTGTTTCTCAGCGCTGTCACACTGCTGAACGTGACTCACAACACCTGAGAAATGTTTTCCCAACCTCTGGTTTCTGTCATGTTAGATACCTGCTCAGACACTTGATGATGTCATCATAATACAATGCTCCTCAGTTTACAGTCAACAACAAACATATTCAGACTGAGTTTCTGTGCTTTTAATGCACACATTGGGATATTTGAAATGAAACACAGCTTTGGACAATGGTTTGAATGTACCACAAAGTTTTATAGATTGTATCTAAATGATTCACAACAAAGTATGAAAACACAAATCTACAGGTGTATAAAAATAGTACAATAAAATAAATGGAAGCGTTTATACTTACACTTCAAAATCCCCTGTAAACTATGATGATTAACATTTGTGCTTTATTGAATTTAAAAATCAGAGTTTGAAGAAAAGCTAAATCTTTTTCACTTATTTGAATTCACATTAATTTACTTAATCATTTCAAAAACATGTGTGACTTATAATTATATATTATTGTTTCTGTTATTGCCAGTGCTACCACTGTCTGTTGTCATTATTAGCCCTTTCCTGTCTTGTCTAAAATATCCATCTTACGTTTCTATAAAGTTTTAAAGTTTTTATAGTCTGTTTGTGTGTTCAGCCTGTTGTCTGTCTTTGTGTTTTGTACTTTTGCACCAAAAAAAAAGGGTATACATTGCTTTATTATTTGGCAGATAACTTCCAGGAGGCAGAACGAATGTATCAAAAGTGACAGAGAAAAGCAACTGCTACTGAATTTGCCTCAAGCACTGTGGGGAACAGTATTGAGTGATTCATTAATAATAATTAATTAATTATATACATATTTGGAAACCTAACGAAAAGAAAACTAAAAAGATCATGCGGGGGGTGACTAAATATGGTCACACCGGGGAAAAGGTGCGCATGAATCCCCGCCTCCTCTTGACGTCATGGGCAGGTACAGGTGATATAAAGTGACCTCACCTCCGGTTGTGCATCAGTTCACCAGAACACCCGGAACTAGACGGAGCCGCGCATTAACCGAACGTCCCCTCACGCAGCTCAGCCCTCCACCTGTGTGCGTGCGCGCTCTCGAGTTTCTCTCCAAACAGGTTTGACGGGGACACACCTGCCGCTCAGAGACAGGAAGCTCCGTGTGCGTATTTGAGGTTCGACACTCCGGCTGTGAGCTCAGTGGACGGCGGACGGACGAGAACACAAGGACACTTTCGACGCTTTGAAAAGTTTGTGTTGCTTTTTTAAAAGTCCCAACATGAAGATGTGGATCGTGCTCGTGCTCGCGGCCATGGCGGCGGGGGCCTCTGCTCAGAGCTGTGAGTATTTGATCGATGACTCCTTTTTTAAAGAACAGTTTGTTAGTCTCAGGAAGCAGTTGGATGTCTGAGCGAACAACACGGGGCTGCTATAGGTTCGGTTACCGGCGGGAATAATTGGGAGACATTTTAATAATTAACATTTCAGTGTATCAGTCAGTGGTTAACAGTGACGTCAGGATTGAGTTTAAATGGATGAAAGTGTGATTAAAGTCGCTTTACATGAGGAACGTAGTTGGTTTCGTTGAGTGGGGGTGGGGAGGATCTGCCCGCACTTTAGGGACTGTGTGTGTGTGTTTCTCTCTGTGTGTTTCTCTGTGTGTGTGTGTGTTTCTCTCTCTGTGTGTGTGTGTGGAAACCAACGCCCAGGTGCTCAGTAAACCTGCTTGTCTTCCTGCTGCACCTGCTGAGTTTACAGGCCTGCATATACCACAATACAACCTGTCTGCTGCACGTCCCTTTTCTTTGTACTTTTAATTAAACCTACTAGAGGCCTTTGTCCAATTATGAGACAGATTGTGTTGCTGCACAGCAAAGTTTGATGATTCAAATCACTGGATGTAGGAACTAAAGCTTCCCTGATGCTGACTTGAGGTTTGTTTTGTGTTGATCATGTGTGTGAATATAACCCTTGTTCTTTCTGCTCAGGTTCATGTGAAACTATGAAGTGGGCCACCTGCGATGGAACTCCGTGTAAGTGCTACGTCATGGTCGGCCAAAACGAGAAACAATTCCTGAACTGCACTTCCTGTAAGTATTAACAGGGTCAAAAAAATACTTTATCTCCCACAGCACCACTCTTTTTTTTCTTTTTTGTGCAAGTTGTTAGTGTTTCCTGCTCATTTTTCTCCCCCTTCTCATTTTCAGTGGTCCCCAAGTGCATCTTAATGAAGGCCGAGATGTACCGAGCCAGAAAGGGCATGGACACGCGTATATTGGGAGGAAAGCCCGATGAGTCCGCCTTCGTGGACAACGATGGCATCTATGACCCAGACTGCGAGAACGACGGAAAATTCAAGGCCAAGCAGTGCAACAACACCGAGGAGTGCTGGTGTGTCAACAGTGCTGGTGTGCGGCGAACTGACAAGGAAGACAAGAATATTAAGTGTGAGAAGCTGGTGGAGACCTAGTGAGTAACTTCATACTCAACTGTGTGGATTATTTAAAGGAATAACAATTTTAAAAAGTTCAACACTCAAATGTTTTTTTGTTTTTTTTCCCCCCTCCAGCTGGGTTCGTCTTCAGCTGACTCACAAAGAGGTTGGAAAAGAAGTGAATGAGGCCAAGTTGAAGACGTACGTATACTTGAACAGAAACACACAACTATATTCTTTTAAATTGGATTCTCATTGTGACCTTGTTTTTAATACAGTGCCATTGCGGAGGCCATTCACAAGCGTTACAAGAACTTCAACAAGGACATGGTGGATGAAATCAAGGTGAGTGGTATTTCAGGGACGTTTACGTGGAGTTTTCTCACAGTTCTATACAGTGACACTAACATCCTGTCTGTCATTCTGCAGTATGACCCTAAAGCCCGCATGATTGTGGTGGATGTCAAGAAGCCAAAAGGGGAGCGCAAGAGTGACCTGACCCACATGGCCTACTACATGGAGAAAGACGTACGTTGAAGCTTTATAATGACTGTGTATTTTGCGATTCAACACAAGGTTTAAACTGTTAAAACTGACCCTGTTGCTACTTCTCTTATCTCCTGCAGGTGAAGGTGCTGCCTCTGTTCAAGAACCAGGAGAAGTTTGAGCCCAATGTGGACGGCCAGACGCTGGAGATGACGAACATCCTGGTGTACTATGTGGACGAGGATCCCCCGACCTTCACCATGAAGCACCTGTCGGGCGGGATCATCGCAGTCATCGTGGTGGTGGTTCTGGCGGTGGTTGCTGGCCTGCTGGTCCTGGTTAGTGAATTTTTCCATTGTCTCTTCGGTTTGGAAGCTGGTGTAGATTTTTGGAGTGATGTATCCTGATTTTTCTGTTTGTTTGCAGTTCTTTGCCAGAAGGCGTCAGAACCAGCAATACAACAAGGCTCAGGTGAGATGAAGTTCATTTAACTTCAAATTTTTCCATGTTAATAAGTGTAAAAGTCCCTTGTTGTGCCATAGAACTACAGTTTAACAACCTGTTTTCCTCTGCTCCCTCCTGTTATGCAGCAAAGAGAGATGGACCCCATGTAACACCTTCATTGCAGCGCCAGTCTTATGAAGAGTCAGCTTTGTACATCAGCTTTTTGGATGAACATCTTTTGCAGTGGGATTGTGCCTTTTTTCACCATTTTACTTGAGGAATGCAGATGGATCAACTTGCTCTTTGTCGATGTCGTTGGCACTACCGGTATCGCCATTTATTTATAAATTGTGTAAAGTGTTGAACTTGTCATCCAATCTGCACGCCATAAAGAACTGTGCTTTTTAAAAATACGCTTGGCCACATTTTAATGTTAGAACCTTTTGATTGTTTTAATTTCCATGTCATAGACTGTACAGTTTCTTTCTTACTAATGTGTGTTTGACGGATTGTTTTTAATAAAATATGTTTTAAAAGACTCTTGATGTGGTGCAGGCTTCTTTTCATTGCACAGGTTTGTCTGTGGACTTTGTGCCTCTTTAACTGCTGTGGAAAAATACAGTGCGACGGTATGGGGGAAGGGAACAGGCTGCAAGAAGCTGCAGGCCCTTTTTTGCATGTTGTGCTTTTAGCCTTAACTTCAGAATGACTAAGCTTTGAAATTCCTCCCTGATTCTTAAACCTGATACATAAAGTCGGCATAAACACTCTGTGTGCTTAAATGATTACAGTACACAAAAGTTTCCCTCTAACCTCTCCTCCTCTCAGACACGCAAGGTGGCTGCTTTGATAAAGGTGAATTGCACAAAGCCTTTTGTTTACTCGGAGCAGCTCTGATTGAGGGGTTTCTACTCCGATCGGTTTAAAATGGGTGTGGCAGGCTTTTCTTGTGTGTGTGTCACCACTGTAGTATTAAAAGCTTTTTACAGCATGATTTATGATTATAGGCAGGAAATAAACCTGCAGATCAGTTTATGAATGCAATGGTGGATCTTGGTTAAAAACAACTGAGACTTTGAGTTATGTTTTATTTTTATGACGACACCACTTCAGTGTCCAGGGAGTTGGCTACTTCTAGCTGTATCTCTGAAACAGTTAGGCATTGTGTCCAACCTGTCCGTCAGGTTCTGCCTCCCTCATGAATGAACACTATGTACACAACAAATACCGAGAGAGGCTTGAGATCAAAGCATCACTGCACACCACCTCTTTATCCACAAGTAGGGCGATAAGTCATAAGTCTGGCAGAAATAGTCAAAATTGAACGAAGGGACAAAAGAGTGCGAGGGGGGAAGCTTTTGGTGTTTCGTGCACTGTGGTGAAGCTCAAGTGAAACTATAGAGGCGAAAATTCCTTGTGCGTCATGTCGCAACTCGCTCATAGTGGTCGGTGTTTACATGCTGTACCTGAAAGCAGCAGCTCAGGAGGGAGTCCTAATTTAACCTTGTTGTCAAAGTGAAGTCCTTAAAGATGACGTGACCCAAAAGTAGCACAATGAATCAATGATCCTGTCCAGTTCCTGTTGACCTCTTTGTGAAATACCTGTCACTGGTATAACCCTTTTTTTTCATGCTAATTCATTCCTATTGTTTTTTAAATGCACCTATTTTCCTAGATCCATTTTGCCTATCCCCTGTGATCCCTCCCCTCATTGTTGCCATGGTGACACCAGGACAAAAGAATGTCTCTAACTAGTTCAGGCAGGTTAGGTATCATATATCCTCCCTCCCCCCCTCTCTGTCTTCCTGTGAAAGACGACAGGAATGAGGTGTGTCAGTTGCAGTCAGGCACCTGCAGCAGGTATCAGCATGTCAGTAACGCTCCACCAATGAGGAGGCAGCGGGGCAGTTTGTGTGGGACTGAGCCTTATAGGACGCCATGAGTTGGAAAAAATGAGTGACCGTCTTACAGTTTCTGTTTATTCAGACATGCTTCCCAGAGGGCAGTGTGCATTGTGTAAATGACGGAAAAAAGAGCTGTCGTCTGGAAAAATGTCACCTTGTCTGCTTCAGTTCAGTTTATTCAAATATTAGATTGTACAAGAACTATGAGACTTATTCCAAGGGTGATTTAAATTCAATGGACAAATAAATATAGGACCTGACAAATATTGCTGTATTCAGGTGTGAGACAATACTGGCTGTACCTCACAAAATAAATGTCCTGTTTTTCCAGTTGAATCTGTTTCTGCCGCTTTTTAACCAACAACCTGTTGCTGGAATGTCTGCAGGAAGTCCATCTGATGTTTGAACCGACATTTCCGGCGTCACACCGAAGAGTCCTGTTTATTTTTTGTCTGCTCCCTTCACTTGTCAGCATCCTTCATCTCTATCAGACATTTTCTTATGTGCAAATACTTTAAACATGATGTTACAAACTGTTTCTTCTAATCAGTGTAGTAAATACTGCTATGTTACACGCAGCGTCTATTGTACTTGTGTCCTGGGAGAGCGATCCTCATGTGACTCACAAAACCATGGTAGTTTTACTCTTGTTGAGGGTTAAGAACAGAGGGTGTTGCAACTTGTTAAGCTCTATGAGAAAAACTGTGATTTGTGAATATGAGACAATACAAATAAAATGTGATCGATTGATACAGATACAGCTATGTCTGTAAAATACAGTCAGCTGAATTATATCGATCTAATGATATATCATTTGGACTCTAAAGGATTGTTGGATTTTTCTGAATCGTCACTTAAAATAGAATATAGGCTGTATAATATTCCTGTTATTAGTAGAGGTTTTAAAGATGCAGCAGTAACACAACAGTTGTTCAATAGCAGTGTATTCCTTAGCTTAAGCCACAACACAAAAGTGTTTAATTCATCCAGTGTGAAACCTGTGTCAATGTAAAGAGCTTCAGTTCAGTGTTGATCAGTTTGCATCAGATAGAAGAAAATCTCTCTTCTTAAAGGTCCAGTGTGTAAGATTTAGGTGAAAGGGAACTATTGGCAGACATTTAATGTAGAATAATCCTCATGATGTTTTCACTAGTTCGTCTAATCTAAATTATTATTAGAAAAGGCCATTTATATTTAAATACTTTATATTTACATCAAGGGGGTCCTCTCTACGGAGGCCGCCATATTTTTTACATTAGTCCAGACTGGACAAACTAAACACCTTTTGAGTTTTTATAATTATTGAAGGCTACCACAGGTTCTTTTTCATGTTTGGAAGGAGAGGGTGAGGTGAGGGGTGTTCACCTGCAACATGAAATGTCAACACTCGATATCACAAAATTCTACACACTGTACCTTTAACTGCACTGGAACTCATTTAAATATCAAATTAACGTGCTGATGCAGGATGTAGATGATATATTATAATATGTGTAGATTCCAGACTGTGAATGAACCTGTACACAACGACTGAATGAACTGGATTTCAGAAACAATTTTATTCTTACTCTTTCACTGATATATTCCACATTCAGATTTGACAGTTTATTTCCTTGTTTGTAGAGAAACTCGACTCTTGTAAGAGAGATGATGAACGAGATGTCTTTCTTTTAACAGCGCCCACTAAAGCTGCTCAATAAAACTATAAATCACTTATAAGAAAAAACAGTAAATATTTTTTATTAAAGAGTCACTGTAATCACAAAGTATTACTAAAAAAAAAACAGAGGACAACGTCCCGATATGAACACGAACCAAATTAAGTTTACAGGAGGCCTGTAACCATGACAACCCTGCAGGATGATAGCTATAATAACCATGGAACAAGCTCTGTTGCCGTGGCAACAGTGGGTTAGAACAACATGGACTGCAGCGACTTGCGGACGGTAGCCATCTCCTGCTGTTGCTGTGGAAACACATCAGTAACACAAATCAGGACAAGTTGAAGATGCACAATCAGGGACATTTATTATTAATATAAATAAAGGTGTGTTACGTGACAGACCTCTGATATAATTCAGGGTTTTCACCTGTTTGAGTTGGTCAGTGATTTATTGTTGCTACAGTTGTATGTTTGATATTTAGTTGTATTTAATGTATGTTGTGCTGCAGCAGCTTTATTTCAGAAATGTGAAAAAGCTGAAATAATCAAATGTAGTTATACTTTGGCTGATTGTTATTATTATTTTTTGTCAATAATTAAAGTCAGTAATTAAAGATCCAATATTTAACCAATATGACAGTTTAAAGCTAAAGTTTAAAGTTTATTGGGGGGGGGGGGCACCCAAGTAAAAGACACAGGCAGAGATGTGAAGAGAGACTGTGGTGATAAGAGGCGACGACGGTGTAAACATGATCACATGATCTCTGCAGCTAATAGTTAATACACCAGTTAACACATCACTTCCTCTCTGTCTGCTGCCCCTGTTGTTGTGGTGAAAGAGTTTGTGCAGAAAACCTGCTGCTGTGTTGTAACTGTGCGAAACACAAACTCTGGAGAAACTCTAGATTTTACCCACAGGTCATGTCTGAAAAGAGCTTGACACTGACTCTGATTCTGTTTCTTCATTCAACAGCTTCATTATTTTCATATTTTTCAGCTTCATAGATGTTAGTTTAAATTTGAAGTATTTACGTGTGGATGTTGTGACTTCAAGGCAATCAACCCTTACTCACTGTGTCCATGAGGATCTTCTTCTGCAGGGTGGCCATCTCCTTCCTCAGCTCTTGTTGCGCTCCCTGCAGGAAGCTGTCATGGCTCTTCTCCATATCCTCCATGTTCTGGATGAAACAATCGATTTCAGTCCAACCATTGGAAAACCAGTGGGGATGCCCCCTACTAGTTCTCATACCTTCAATTTACTTTGTGTTTTAGTCAGCACTTCCCTGCAATATTTAACAGTAACTACTAATAATGTGATAAATGATTCGGTGAACACCGTCCAGCGTGTCCCTTCTGCCAGATGCTAACAGACTCAATGCAGGATTCTCTTCTGGAGTGTCAGGACTTTAACAGGGGGCAGAGAAGAACAACACATTCAACATCCACATCAGTTCAAAAGGCCTCACCTTCACAAACAGCTCGTACAGCTCTCTGACCGTCTTCAGCTTCTGGTTCTGCACGACTCTGGCCTGCTGCAGGATCTTCTGCTGCTGTCTGAACAGATTCTGCGGAGAGGAGAGTTCATCACCAACATGCTCTGCACTTACAGAACATCTAAATAACAGTTCAATACTTTAGTTATGGGATTAAATGTTGTATTCAAATAAAGACTGGCTGTTAAAACTGAATATTATTCCACTACAACAACACTCTGATGTGTTCAAACATGATTCATGATTTCTTACTGTTCAGTCCAATCCTTGCAATCCTCCAAACACAAGTTTTGTGACAAGGAGTTGGACGTTGGGACCCCACTGAATTTATACGTGTATTAGGAATGTGTGTACATTATCTATATATATATATTTATATGTGAAGCGCTTTGTGAGGTGGTATAAAAATATATTAAAAATAGAACTGGCGGTCACAGAGCATCAAACCTGTGACCTCGTCTAACCAATCAACCAAGAAA